CTTTGTCTAGTGAGTTCCAGGCCAGCTGGGGCTACAGGGAGACCCTATCTCAAAAAGCGCCCCCCCAAAAAGAAGTGGGCAAATGTTCTATCATGACACAGGTAGAAAGTAATAGAGCTATGACCCAAATACTCAGGGTCAATGATCTTGTGGGAGAAGATACAGAAGTAAGAAAGGAGTTTATAATCCAGAAGTGGTCGAGAAACATGAAACTATGTGTGGAATTTTTAAAAACACAGATTAGGGGCTGGAGAGACGGTTCAGCGATTAAGAGCACTGACTGCTCTTGCAGAGGACCCAGGTTTGATTCCCAGCACCTACATGGCTGCTACAAACTGTCATTATCCAGTTCCAGGGGAATCCGAAGCTCTCTTCTGACCTCTACGGCACTGCATGACGCGGATGCAGTCACACACATGCAGGCAATACACTCATACATATAAAATAAAAATAATAAATAAAATATTTAAAAACAACAAATTAGAAAATATACATAATAATATTCTTGACATTTACAATAGAGCCTTCAGAGAGTTTTCTTTAAAAACATAAAATACAGTTAATGTATAGAAAATAGACAAACTTTCCATTAAAGAAAAAGTTCTACTATCTTGAGTAACAAACTATATAAATTTATAGAAGGGCTAATTATAGCCCCAAGTTATAAACTCCAGGGATAAGACATTCAATTTTAGTTTCTAAAGTCTCATCCCAACAACACAAAGAGTTTGTCTGGTTTGGTAGTTTCCTAGAACTTCTAGAAAGTATCATAAACTAGTGGATCATGACATCAATTTATTACGTCAGCTTTGGAGGATTTAGTTCCTATGTTAAGGATCTTCAGGATTGGTCCTTTTCAAGCTTGTGAAGGAAGATCTGTCACAGGGCATTTGTTGACTTCAGCATCTCCTGGTCTCTGCCTTCAACCTCATGTGATAGTTTCATTCTCTTTCTGTATGTGTCTAAATCATTCCCCCTTTGAATAAGAGCCCCAGATATGTTATCAGGGTCACATCCTATGTCAGTCTGACCTCCTCTTATATAAGTATGTCGCAATAAACCTATTTCATTGTAAAAAAAAAAAAAAAAAACCTTCCATTGATTTATATTCATTATACATGGTACTGGTTTGTTCTAGAACATTTTTGCACAAGGATATAACGTCCTTTGAACATATTGACTCGATAATCCAACTCATCTCTTTCTCACCCTGCTCCCCCTGTTTATCCTCTTTTCCCCCTAAGCAGTTTTACTTCTGCTTCTCTCTCTCTCTCTCTCTCTCTCATATATATGTGTGTGTGATTTTATGTATCTGTATAAAATCTAGGAACCGAAAATGTGGTTATTTGTCTCTGAGAAGGTCTTAATTCATATAATATGATTATCTCCAGTTGAATCCATCTTTCTGCAGTGTAGCTCTGCTCTTTATGGCTGAAGAATTACATTGTGTAATTTTCTTTATTCCTCTGCTGATTGCCACCTAGGCTGCTTCCATAACTTAGCTATTATGAATAATGCTTCAATAAACATTGATGTGCAAGTATCTCTGTGGTATATTGATCTGTGTGGTCTGGCTGGGTCATGTGATAGATCTATTTTTAGTTTTTGGGGTTTTTTTTTTTTGAGGAACTTCCATACTGATTTTCATAGTGACTAGATTAGTTTACATACCCACCAATAAATATATGAAGGTTCTCTTTTTTATGCATCTATGTCAGCATTTATTTTTCATTTATTTATTCGTTGAAAATTTTGAACATGTATATAATGTATCTTAATCACACCCACCTTTCCTCCCTCTTAACTGCCCCCAGAACTCTCTAATACATCTCCCTCACAACTTAATGTCCTCTTATCCCCTACACATGTGTGTGTGTGTGTGTGTGTGTGTGTGTTGAATTCAATTACTACTACCCATATGTGCATCCGTGTGGGGTCATCCACTGGGGCACGGGTAGCCTACCCACAGCATCAGCCACCCCCCAAGACTCTCTCAAGTGACTCTCCCTCTCCTAGAAGCCATGAATAGCCAGTATCTCCTCAGCTAGAGGGTAAGGCTTCCATGCTGGAATACTTAGCTAGCTTAATGTTATGCAGGTCTGTGCAGGTAACCACAGCTGCTGTGAGCTCGTGTGTCCAAAAGCCTTGTGATGCCAGAAGGACAACTTTTCACAGCAGTCCTCTCCACCTCTTCCATGATGTTCCCTGATCCTTGCTGGGGAGGGTTGATATAGATGACACATCTCAGTCTGAGTACTCAGTCACTTATTCTCAGCACTTTGAACAGTTATGAGCCTGCCTTAGCCACTGCTCACTGCAGTAACAAACGCCTCTGACCAGGGTTGAGAGCAGAACACATCTATGGATATGAACATGAATATTTAGAAGGAAGTTTGACAGCATGATCATTTAGCAAAACAGCATCATTAACTTCTCCTCTACCTACCTACGGCCTCCCCAGCCACAGGTTTTGACCGGTTGACAGTACCAAGCATGAATTCCCTCCTGTGGGGCAGGTCTCAAATCTGATCAAGAGATTATGGTTGGTTACCCGCATAAGCAATCTTGTCACTATTGTACCAGTGGGCACAACTTGCCTAGTAGGTCATTATACCTTTCAGGGCCCAGATCTGGGTAAGACTACTGATGTCTTTTCTCTCCCAGGAGCCTGCATAGCACCTTTCAGCATTATTAAAGCTAGACAGCAGGGACAGAGTTTCCTGGGCAGTTCAAGATCAATTTCTTTATGTCACACACCAAAGTATGTGCTGTCCTCATCAACAGCTAGCTGGTCCATCCTTTGGGTTCTCACTGTGGATTTTTTAATTAATATTTTATGTGTATGAGTGTTTTGCCTGAATATATGTAAGTGCACCTATGTACTGCAATGCCTGCAGAGGTCAGAAGAGGGCATCAGATCCCCTTTAACGGGAGTTATGGACAGTTGTTAGCTGTCATGTGGGTGCTGGGATTCGAACTCAGGTCCTCTGAAAGAGCAGTCAGTTCTCTTAATCACTGAGCGAGCTCTCCAGCCCCACTCACTCACAAAAGTTTGGAGGGACAGGGATGATTTTAGGCTGGTGCAGTGTGTGAGACGAATAATCACAACTAGGCCTGTGAGTGTGGAGATGGCACTGGCGTGGGTGGGGGTTCTGGCTAACTCAAGATTTTCTCGGGGAGCAGAACTGATAGAATGCATATCTACTACAAAGGAGATTTGTTAGAATGGCTCACATGATGTAAGCTGGGCAGCCCAACAATGGCTGTGTGCACACTGGAGGGTGGAAAAGTCTGGTAGCTACTGATTCCATGAGGCTGGATGCCACACCAGTCTCAGCCTGGCAGTGACAGCCTGGAGGATTCCTGGAGAGTCGCTAGACTTTAGACCATATTGAGAAGTTGAAAAACCTGGATTCCAACGTCAGTAAAGAAGAGCAACAGCATAGCAGCAATCAGGCAGACACATGCGGCGTGCACCAGGGGAGCGCTTGGAAGCAGGCAGAAGCCCCCTTTCCGGTCAGACCTCTAGGTGCGCCTGGATGAGCCTCTGTCTGGTTCCATACATTTGGGGAATTTTCTGCTATGATTTTATTGAGTTTTTTTTTATGCTGTTAGTGTGAAATTCTCCTCCATCTGTGCCCACTCAGGTATTGTTTGCTCTTTCTTATTAATTTGTCCTAGTCGTTGTCTAAGCATTTCGATTCTTCTGTCTTGTCTCCCAGTCCTCCGAAGCCTGTCCTCCACCTTCATTCCTCTGGTGTAGCTTTCCACAGAACTCTTCATTTGTCTAGCTGAGCTTTTTGTTTTATTCAGCGTTATCTGTTGAATTCACTTTTGTGTCCTGCATTAACATACTCGTTTCGTTAAGTTGTTTGTGCTCTCCTTGAATTCCTCCAAGATTCTATTCATTTTCTCTTTGATTTATTTGGACACACTTTTAATCATTCCTTTGGATGATTTGTCTTGTATTTACTCTAATTGGAGACCATTATTTGGAGAGTAGTCATTTTTTGTAGAGTTGTGTTGTCTTGGATCTTACGCATCTGAATTGGGAGATTCTTTAATATCATGAAGGACAATAGTGTCCACTGGTTCCTTGGCTTTTTTAAATTTTTATTTTTTGTTTTTATGCTATGTGTATGAGTGTATTGCCTGCGTGTAGGTAGGTAGGTGCATCTGTGTTATGCAGTGCCTGTGAAGGTCAGAAGAGGGTGTCGGATCCCCTGGGACTGGAGTTATGGATGATTGTTAGTGGCAATGTGGGTGTTGGGAACTGAACCTGGACCCTCCGCAAGAGCAGCCAGTGCTCTTAGCCTCTCAGCCACCTCTCCAGCCCCAGGTTCCTTGTCTTTTGGCTAATTATTAGTATATAAATAATCCGTGCACAATATTATTTATATTCACTCTCTTTTAACTAGCTAAACATTAGATCATTGTCTCTATATGTGAAGTAAATGTGCCTCATTGGTAGAAATGTATTAAACAAAATAAATATATTTTATAATGAATATGTCTTAAAATGAAAAGAGGTGAGTTTCATAACTTTTCCTAAAGAATTGCAGTTAAATAGTCCATGAACAGGAACTTGTAGAGTTTTGCTTTCTCTGACCAGTTCTTACACAAATTGCATCTATCCAAAAGAACATGAGGTCCTTAAAAGGCAAACCCCCAAATGGTTCCAATGGCTTTTTTCTTTTTCATTTCACCATCAACAAGATTGATTCTTTATGATCCAGCAATATTAATATTCTTTCATGAAAGCATGTTGTCTTTCAAAGAAAATTTTGAAACAGTTCATTTTTAAAAACTGAAAACCATCATAGGTACCAAAACTCTAAGGGTTGAGACGGAGTCACAAGGTTCTAGGGTGTCTCCCTGGCATTCTGCTTCCCAGGAACAGTGATGTCATAATGTCCTGCTAAGTCTCAGGGCCTGCTGAGTCACAAGAAGGACGCCTCAAGGAGACAGAAGATTGCTGGATAAATCACATCAATTTCCCAATGGATTTTGTAATGTTTGTTTTTTTGTCTGGGTTTTTGCTCCCAGGGGTTAGCCATTTGAAGTCCAGTATAGAACGTGAGTGAGCATTTAAAATTTCACACAATTAGTTAATAAGAAGGATGGCCCTTAATCATGGGGAGTTGGTATATGATCATTTTCCTCAGGATGACAGAGCTTAAATGTTAAGTATGTCTCAAATTTTGAAAGCTATGCAGCGTGAGAAAGCAGTAAAGAAAATTAACGTCTTCGGATCCATGACGTATCATGGTCTTTTTAGAGTCACTTGACGTATCTTCAGATGACGAACATTATTATGCAGATGAAGACAATACAGCTGGTGATGATAATAATCTCCTTCTACTTGAAGATGAAAAAGCTCCAGAGAGTAAGCCTATCATACACACAACAGAAGACAGTGAAGAAAATCCTCCTGCTAATGAGAAAACTGGCAACTATTATAAAGACATAACGCAGTGTAAGTTTTTAAACCTAACAACATATGTAAAATGCTGATATAAATAGCTGATTATACGCAACTAATTTTTTATGTTTTTGATGTTTTTGAAACAGGGTTTCCGTGTAGTTCTGGCTGGCGTGGAACTTGCTATGTAGACCAGGCTGGCCTCAGTCTCTGAGAGATCACCTGCCTCTGCCTCCCGAACACTGGGGAGGCATGTGCCACCACACCCGGCTCATTTGATTTAATTCTGTCTTACAAGCTCCCATAATCATTTTGTTTCCCATTTTTTAAATTCTAATTTGCTTTTTAGATAGTTCAGTGTGTGAAATTAAATCCTTATTTTCTACAACTTTTTTCATGAGACACTATGAAATTTAACAAGGTTTTTGCCTATTATGTCTGTCTACCATGGTTCATTATAGCACTGAGTTATTCATTCACATTAGTAAAAATTGATCTGGTTTGATGGTGAGTTAACTGAAACTTATTTAGAGGTGAGTATCAGTGTCTTAAGGCTGCTGAAACAAAGTGTCACAAACTAGCATACTCAAGATAACAGAAAACAATTCTCCCACAGTCCTGGAGGCTGGAAATCCAAAATCAAAGTAGACTCAAGCAAGCAAGGGCTCTCCAAAGCCTCAGGCTGAGGACCCTTCCTTGAGTCTTCCAGCTTCTGGTAGCTTAGGCATTCCTTGGCTTATGGTAGTATCACTTTCTGCCCCACCCTCTTCACATTATAGTCTCCATTTCTATGTCCAAATGTCCCTCTTGTACAAGGACATTAAACACACATAATTGAGATGCACTATTGCAACACAGTTCCATCTTAATTACACTTTGGCAGCCCTTTTTCCAATCCTGTCTCACGTTCTGAGGTACTGAGAGTTAGGACTTAGTGACTTAGTAAATTATAAGTAAACTTGTAGAAACATTAATTTTAGCATCTTATGCACTTGCATATATTTTCAATGAATTTACCCAATAATTGCTTCTTAGAGTCATTTATCGTAAGAAAGGGAGTTTGACTTTTTTTCCTTATGAACTTTCAACTTGCCCCTTGCCCCACTTACCTCGAAGAAAAATGACTCAGTGGTTATTTTAAGTTTTTAATACTATGAAGAAAAAATGTAATGGATAAGAGGCGATTTACTGGTCGCTAAAGACTTCTAATTTTTTGTTCGTAGATGTGTTCACCACACAAAATACAAACGGCACCGACTCTGAAATATCTGTGAAAGCCACAACTGATCTGAGGTTTGCACTGAAGAACTGTAAGTACCAGAGGCCGGGTCACTGCTGCCCAGGGGCGCCTTAAAGCTAGATTCCAAGCAGCCGTGGAGAAAGGAAGGAAGCCTGAGAGTTGCCTGCTAAAGCAGATTCTGTGCTTCTGAGACCCAGAGCGCAGTCATTTGGGGTTTTTCTCACATTTTCTCCCACATCTTTTTCGTGAAGCTTCGTATGTATTGCAGGGATCATGTCAGACGGCAGGGAGAGTTTCACATTTCTAAACCTGCGATTTTTCAGTTTGCATGGAAAGAAAGTTTAAATAACTGAATTTGGGATCCCGGGAAAATATTTTCTTTAAACCCACATTTGTGCTTCTTTCTATTTTCTACCTTGAATGGCATTAGACAGAACAAAGAGACTGTTTTGGCTGTGAGAATTTCAATATTGGAACAAGCCAAACTCATTAATGCCTAATTATTAACAAATTTACTTAACAATAGTGGACCATTCTGAGCAATTCCAAACCTTATGGTAGAAACATTTCCAAGGCAAGCATTAGTTAATTCATCATGGGCATCTTTTCTTTTAATTTGGCATACATTCATTAATACAAAGATAGGTAACAAATCAATGTCAAGGGCATCTTGATTGTCTAGAGCAAACAACATCTTGAGTTGTGTGAGAGGAGATATAGCTAGCCTTCCCTTAAGCAGCCCAAGCACCTCAAATTTCCTAGGATATGAGCTCCTGAGAACCATCTTGTCCGAGGAAGAGATTCCCAAACCCTAAATTCTATCTCCACTCAGGGGATTGTCAAAGAAAGTTGGACTAGAATAAACCTTCCTGACATCTTTTTTTTAAAAAAATTTTATTTGTTTGATTTTATTTTATGTGTATGAGGGTTATGACTGCATATGTGTAAGTGCACCCATGTTGTGCAATGCCCATGGCAGTCAGAAGAAAGCATCAGATTCCCCTGGAACTGGAGTTACAGACAGTTGTTAGCCGTCATGTGGGTGCTGAGAATCGAACCCGGATCCTCTGCAAGAGCACTTAGTGCTCTTAACCGCTGAGCCATCTCTCCAGCCCTCCTGATATCTTTAAAGGGGCTCTGAAGAGGAAACTTTGTAGAAGCATTTCAGAGGAACAAACCCACCAAAGAAATTAAGAGCTTCAAGATAACTTTCACTAATGATAACTTGCTTGAGCATAGTCCCTAAAGCTTCAAGGGCAGTGGGGTAAACTGAGGCAATCAGCTTCTTGTTTCCTAAATAGAGCATTAGCAGCCGCCTGGCAGTTGGGATTATTTACATGTTTTGTTTGTACTGAGTCCTGCCTGAGTCAATACCAATTCCAGTAATGGATTCCCCTTTCTATCCTTTCTCATCAACAGGATATCCGTAATGGACTTGTAGGCTCTGTGACCACTTTGTTGATGTCCCCTTATTGCAGGGTGGTACACCGCATAGAACTTATGCTACTATTCAGCTAAATTGACTCATACAGCCCAAATACCCTCAGTGATTACAGCCTGAGAGACATGCTAAATCAGGCCCAGAGATCCATGATGTGTACTCCCCAATCTTAATATCCAAAACTCTCTGGCCAGTTTTCAGGGGCACTGACGCCATCTCCTCCTCCTTTCCTGTTGGTACTTGGAACCACCGCTCATTTCCAGACCTGTACAAGGGAGTCTGATGAAGCCAACGATTCAGCCAGTAGTCCTCCCTTGCCTCTACAGGCCCACAGTTTCCCTCTTTCCTGAAATATAAACATATTGAACCCGTCCTCTGGCAATCCATGTGATGAAAATTTTAATCTCCAGTGCCTTCTTTCCCATTCTTTATTTCTGGTAAAATGTCACTCTCTTTCACTTATCCTTGTCTTTGCTCCATTTGTAATCTAAAATATGTCCCACCTAAATGTTTGGCTGGCATTATTATCTGCTGACAGTATTTTATCCCTCTTTCTAGATAAGCTCCTCAATGCAACTACAGCTGAAAAACGTGCCAGTGAGGAAGACGAATCTAATGCACTCGCGCCTAAAAATTTGCAAAGTATTAAAATTACTACACTGTGTTGATATCTGGAGCACACTGTTACATGGCTTATGCAGTTAGTCTTCAGTACTCTGAACAACACATAAATGAACAGCCTGTATAAAGAATTTATACCACTATGTTTATATTCTCGCTAAAATCTTTTAAGTTGCAAATATTTAAGAGTCCATTTTCAGAGATATCTGCCAAGAGATAGGAACTGAATTTTCAGAAATTTTAAATATATAAATGGACATAGAAATAGATAAAAATGTATTTATAAATATTGTTTATATTTAGCAAGTATAAATATGTGGGATATATTTTACTGATAATGTAAAACTCTACCTGCTTGAGGAATAAATGTATTTCTGGTCACAATGATTAATGTTTCCTAAGATGATTCGCGGGAGGGGCCTCGGAAGTGGGAGGCTACAGACTTGAAGTCACCATTTTACTTTCCTGTCAAGATCATTGTTCCTTATACAATATTTATGGAGCCATAAAAATGCAGGCTGGCTCCCCTTTATTTCTTGAATGAATGTATAACTGAAGGAGTCTTACCTGTTATTCACGGTTTCTTTTTTGAACAGCATCAACCCCCAATGTGCCTGCATTTTGGACAATGTTAGCTAAAGGTAAATGCATGCAGTTAGGTAACTGGGAAATGTTTTAAGAGTCTAAAATTTTATGTTAGAAGGTCAAGATGGGTCTACACATTTCTGATATTACTTTTGCTGCCATATGTAGTAGCAAATGTAATACACTAAGAAATGACAAAGTTCCAGTGTCTGATTCTTCTTCCCCCAAAAGGTCTGTTCTCCTACAAATGTTAAGTCTAGACAGCACATTAAAATCAGTGAGGATACTCACTGTTATAGGGGAGTTTCATTGACTGAGTACTCTCTGGTCATTGCTCGGCAGGCAATTATCCCAACCTACCTTTTTTATAGCTTTAGATTTCAGAAACAGTTGAAACTAACTATTTTTAAAAAATCATTCAATTTAGTGCAAAGTTAAATATTTTAGCCTCTTGCCCAGGATAGCTCCTCTGCCTTGGGAGCAGCCTGTGCAAAAACGCACAAAGATGCACCAAGAAGTATCAAACTATCAATACAGAGTCGTGCATAAAAGTAACTTGTATATTATGAATGTACAAGTACAAATCCACAATGCAATGCACATATCAATCTAGGTATGCATGAACTGTGTGCATGCATTGGGGTGTTAACATACGTAATGCATGTATCATATATGTATATACATTATAAATGTGAAATCTATGCCACACTCAGTCAGTCCTCATTATTTGCATATTCTGTATCTCCACACCATATCACCTACCCACTGAGATCTCTTCATCACCCCAAAATCAACCTTTGTAGCATTTTCAGAATAATTTGTCAATACTGTCACAGTTTAAAGTATTTTAAATTGCCTGACAGGTACAATCAGTCAGACCTTGACCTGACCCCAAACATAGGGTTAAATGGCTTGTTAGTGTTCTTAAATATAAGGAAGCTGTGATGGTCCTTATGAAAAACACTTGTTAGAAAAGCTCTGTTCAAACATGAGTTATAGAGATGTTTACTTTACACAACATTACCATGAGTAATGAGAACAGACTTTACATATTATATACCTTTATACACACGCAATTTTACTACGTGTTGTTTACCATTGCACCAACTTATTGTTTTAACAGCTATAAATGGAACAGCAGTGAGACTAGATGATAAAGATCAACTCTTTCAAGCAATTCCAGGTAAGAACAAAGTACTTCAATTAATATATGCATAAATATCACCTGCATTTTAGTGCCTCTGCATATGACGTAATTTCTCCTAGTGACACGTAGTCTTTTTTTTTAATGGGCTTCATTTGCAGAGGAATTTTAGGTTTGAAAAATAGTAGGAAGTACAGAGCTCTCACATCCCAGCTCACTCCCGTTTCTCTTGCTTTTCTAATTTATTTTGATTTTTGTTTTAATAATGTATGTGTTTGTGCCTATGCGAGTCTATGCCATGTGTACACAGGTGCCTGTGGAGGCCACAGAGGGTGTCAGATCTCCTGGAGGTAGTATGTCAGGTGGTTGTGAGCTGCATGACTTGGGTGCTGGGAACTGAACTTGGGTCCTCTGGAAGAGCAACAAGTGCTCTTAACCCTGAGCCATCTCTCCAGCTCTGGTTTCCCATTCTTAGTCTTTGTTGGTAGCCGGGTGTGGTGATGCATGCCTTTAATCCCAGCACTCTGGAGGTAGGGGCAGGCGGATCTCTGTAATTCGGGGCCAGCCTGGTCTCCATAGTGAATCCAGGCCAGCTGTGACTACAGGGAGAGCCTGTCTCAAAAAGACTAAAAAACAAAAATGTTTATTGGTGCAGTACATTTGCTAATACACAAATATTGATACGTTATTGATGTTATGGTTCGCTCCTTGTTTTGTACCGTTCATTGGGATTTTGACAATGCACAGTTCAAGGCATCTGCCATCACAGTACCACATAAAGTTTGCACTGTCCTGAAGCCCACTCTGTCCCCATCTATGTATTCCTTCATTCTTCTCTTCCTCTACAACTGTGGTGAGCACTGATCTTCCTGTGTCTACAGTTTTGCCTCTTTCAGAGCGTCATCAGGCTGGAATGACGCAGTGTGTGGACTGTGCGGCTCCCTTTCACTTAGCAGTGTGCATGTAAGGCTTCTTGTGACTTGATAGATCACTTGTTTTTATCACTAATATTCCATTGTATGAGTGTATCCCAGTTTACTGACCTATCCAGGGGCATATTGGTTGCTCCCAATATTTGACAAGTATGAATAAAGCTGTTGTAAACATTTGTGGGCAGGTTTTTATACGTGGACAGTTTTCAACTCCTTTGAGTGAATGCATGGGAGTGCAGTGCTAGTGTATGGAAGGGCCACGTTCAGCTTTGCTCAACTCGGTGCTACTTTGCATTTCATCAGTACTGTACTC